CACCAAAACCTTGAAGGACAGCCGCTGTTCCACCGAGATGGTCAGGCTCTTACCACCACCACACTACCACCACCACCACCACCACCATCACCAACACCACCACCACCACCAACACCACCACCCACATCATCCTCTACACCCCCCCTTTTTTGCCATCCCCCCACCCCTTGCCATCATCTCACCCCCTCCCCACTAAACCCCCAGTACTCCACCAGCAACAACCACAACCACAATCCCAAAAACCTTAAAGGACAGCCGGCGCTCCACCGAGATGATCAGGCTCTTCCTCAGAAAGTTGACGTAGGTGGATGTGATGCTCCTCTTGGACTGAGTGCTGGCCTCGCCTGCGCCACTGGTCTCCGTCTCTGTCTCGATGGAGCAGCTCTCGGCGCGCGGTTTGCCGCCCTGGAAGATGATGGACGACGCTGCCTCGTCCACTTCCGACTCCCGGTACTCGCCGTCGTTAGAGTTTTCCTCAGCTGAGGTGAATGTAACAAAACAAAATTAAATAATAGCATTTAAAAAGTAAGAAAAAAAAATCAACAACCCCCCCCCTCCCCCAAATCCCCCTAAGAAGAAACCCAAACAAACAAAATAGAAAATGATCAAAAACAACCAAACAAACATAATGATGATGATGATAAAACATATCGTAACAGACAGACTTGAGGAAAATATTAATTGATAGTTCATGTTCCCTGTGTAAAGACAGAGAGAGAGAGAGAGAGAGAGAGAGAGAGAGAGAGAGAGAGAGAGAGAGAGAGAGAGAGAGAGAAATTGGAGTGTAGTGGTAATCACTTCCCCAGTTGACAAGGCTTTCTATTTAATTTTATTGACTTGATTATCTCATGCCACCAAACCATATTCTTACAAATGTTTCTTCTTTCCTTCTTTTTCCAGAATGTGGGAACGGTCCTATCGAGATGACCTTCGCATTCGACGCAAGCTCCACAAGCAACTCTGGCAAACTCCAGGTGGTGGAGAACATCGAGTCCATCTCCAAACGATTGGCCACCTTGGCCGGTGACGTCAAGATCGGCGTGTCTTCCGGCCCGTGCCCACCAAGCCTTGACGTGCCCATGTCTATTCCGGAAGTCTCCGGTCTGAAGCTCCGACGCGCCAAGAAGCACATCCGGCCACGTCTGCACTCTATTGTGAAGGCCTGGAGGAGGGAGCAGAGGATGAAAGACGCTAAGTTTAACTTGGTGGTCGAAAGCAAGCTGAAAAATGTCCTGAGTGACTACCCTGTCGATGACCTCTACGTGGACGAGAGGGTACCCACAAGAGGTCTGGTCCTTCTCCTGAACAGAGAAAATGTCTCAGAGTTTGAGTACCTTGCAGAGGAGGTTTCGCGTCTGCTTGAGCATGGTACCCAGGTCTTTGCAGTAATTGACGAGTCAGTGGGCAAATACCACGTAGATAAGTGGGTAGATCTGTTAGGCCCATCACGCGTTTTGGGTGGAGTAAGAGGAGACCATGACTATTCAGGTCAGGTCATGGAGTTTATGTGCGCATTGTAAAAATATGTTTAAAAAAATTAGCATCCTTAACAAATTCTTTATAAATATTGTCTTTTTTTTGCAACTACGTGATTAAAATTATGAGACACTGTTGTCCCATATTAATACCGATTACAAGTTACAACAACGCTGATTAATACCATAATGATATTTGCCTTCCTTGTACTACACACTAGGCCTACATGTAATTTGTCCTGTTCTGGTCTATTAAAACCAAAATGAAAACTGTACAGCTGTCTTGGCTAACAGATACCGGTGCCATATTGCATTATATTTCAAATACATTGACTCAGTTCTGGTGCTAAATACGGGTTTTATTATGTCTGTTGCAATATTAGCAGTTGTAGAGTGACTGAACGCTTTTTGGTGAGTTAGTCTCAGGAATGTATGTTGCCATTGAATGAGAATGGTTGGAAGAACAGAAATTATCTGTCTGCGCGTTATTTATTGAAAGTGAAGTGAATGACTCCGAATTCAGTGCTGAGAGAAAATTTTGCGCACATGTCTGATGTAAATGAAATGTATGAATGAAAATATGGATGGTGAGGAAATGTATTCATAAGCATGTGCAATGCAAAGGATATTTGAATGCTATATGGAAGGTCGAATGTTGTTTAAATGTAACGCTTGAGAGAAGATTTGGAGTGGTTTTTATGACTGAATTAAAAGGATGATTTATTACTCATGACAAAACGCAGATGAATTTGTGACATTAACTTTGAATACATTTTTCATGCTGGTGAAATACCCTTTTAAAAATGAATCCATGATGTCTTTTTACATAAATGTCTATTAAGACATGTCAATATGTCAACGTACTCTCTCATTTCTGGTCATTCAGGACAATGTCCACCCTACCCAGGTGGTTTCTTATACTACGTGTAATTCCAATCACATATTTATGTTCAGACGGACCAATTGCCTCTGTGCTTTGTATAAAAGTATAAGCTTCCTTTTTTAAAAAATAATTTCCATTAAAAAAATACCCTTGAACTTACTTGAAGATATATCTCCAAGTGCACAAATATTTGACACAAACCACTCTTACTGATACTAGTCATTTCTCATATGTACTATTTAACTACAAATGCCATGAGTGACACTGTCTGTGTAAGTGGTTCACGACTGCTGGCAACGGACCATGCCAATATCACATCTGCTTTTGTTAGTAAAGGTCTAGTTGAGGTCCCCCTTCTAAAAAAAAAAGGTTTAAAATCGTCTTTCGCGCATGACACCCCAGCTACCTCCGTGTTGGCCCCTCAGAGAGTGGAGAGCCCGGATGTGTGAAGTGGGTCAAGCAAGTTCCTCGTAGAGATCTCAACTAGACCTTTGCTTCTTCTGATATGAACAGACTGTGATAAGAGACAGTGAACAACATATTATAATTATATGCAATTTGCTTCATGCATGCTGACATTTTTTTCATGGAGGACAGATCTGTTTTATGAACAACAGACTACGCTACCATTTGGAGCCATGCCGTCATGAATTGTTACCAAAGTGTCTTTAATTCCTCTTGTCAAAGATGTTTAAAGTACATGTCGTGCACTTCCATGCCATTGTGTGGTAACTGTTGCAATTGTTACCAAAGTTTGCCATTGACTTTTTAAATTGTTGCATTTTTAATGAGTTTTGCTATTATATCATTACAATGCTGATACTAAGATTTTACAACAATAAACCATAAAATGAAAAGTGAAAGTAGTTGTGTTACATTATTTGGAACAAAATGAAGAGCTGCCACGAACCACAAGAACATTAATAATATTGTCAAAATCTCTGATTTTGCTCGACAATACACACCCCACATAGATCAGTCTTGGTGTTGAAATCTACAACTCAAATAAAAAATGTTCATCTCTTTAGTTTTAGTAGAGGTTTTACGGCACTCGCAATTGCATAAGATCATATGAGCGCCAGAAGATTAGAGGTGTTACAAGAGAGTAACAAACACAAAAAAGAAGAAGGGGAGATAAGGAAGATAGATGTTCGATAGGAAAGAAGGAGCAAACCACACCAGAGCACCCGCCAACCACCCACATGTTCATCTCTGACAGTTACACTATTACTTGCTGCTATTTAATTTGTCCAGCCATGGTCACAGAGTCTGTATTGTGATAACCAGAATCTGGGTGCAATAGAATCACGACCCCAAGACAAAGAATATAATTAAAATCCTCAAACAGTTCTAGGGAGGAGTAGTTGTACCAGAGGCGTTTTGAGTCAAGACGCACATTCCTCATTACACAACTAAGACCAGCATCTGAGGTGTAGCTGTTAGGTGTTTCGCTGTCACACACAGGAGACCTGTGTTCGATTCCCAAGAGAGGGAAATTTTGTCATTGAATTCAGTCTACATTGTATTGATTGGGCATAAAAAACCCACTATTTTTTGTTGTTGAAAAGACAAATAATGTCAGACCTAAAGGAATGAATTTCAAACAAACATATATACATTTCTCCAATAAGAAAAAGTAGAATCTCTTAAACTTACAATCTCTTCAATCAGGTCAAACTGGGGCTCGAGTGGTTAAGCGGGTCATGAGCTTAGGCTCACAAAAATGACAAGCAATGTCTGTGACACTGAACTTATGTGGATGGCCAGTAATGTCATGTCCCTGTGCAAGACACAATAAACCTAGCTAAAGCTGAAAAACAAGGCGCTGCACTGTCACTGTGGCAACCAGCAAAGGCATGCTTGTATCATGATACTTTGACTTGTGCTGATGTTGACCTTACAGAGTAACCTGTAAGTTCCTGTATGTTTGCATTGTACATGTAAGTTACTGTAAACCAAATTTCCCCAACAGTAATCAGTTCAACTGGTACTGGTAGTTGGTAGTATTCAACCAAATTCACAAACAGTACACCTTAGAAGTTAGAAGTACATGTAATCTGTTGCTTTTAAGCACAAGGGGGCTATCCTAAAAAATGCTGTTTTGAGAAAATAGAAGGTAAAGTTTTTGCCCCTCGTTCAGTTTCTATATAAGGAGAGTTTTCTCTACAACCAAACAAATACATGTACACATACCAATGAAACCAAACTTCTCTTACAGGTAGGGCAAAGCCCACTTTTGGTGTAGGTCAAGATTTCTGGAAACCCCCGAAATCTGGGTTAGCCCGCTTGTCCTTAAAAGTGACCAATTGTATAGTAGATTCAAACCTCAGACATCTAAGAAATTCAGGAGTCCCATCTAATCATCAGTCCTTGATAGAACACCTCGCATCCGGCTGCAGGCAGTTGTACTAAGAAGAAAACTAAAAGCAGTGCGCAGCAGTCAAGATTACTCCCTTCAAACACTAAAGAGTAATGCCTGCCTAAAGCATAATCCATAATGGATCCAAAGCCTGTATAAAGCAGTTTTTGAGCCTTCCATAAAACATTATCATCAGCCCCACCCTTTCCCTCCTTCTACTAGCAGCTGACACACACAAGACTTTAATTCTTCATCTTCAGAGGGGGTCTTCCCACAATGCCAAGACCCGCTTTTGGTAAGAAACCTAAAAGTGATATAAATATCTCTAAATTGGTCACTGAATCAAAACAAATGAACCTATCCTGATACTTTATCTAATGAAAGAAACTGATGTTGTTGTTGTTGTTATCGATCCAGCAACAGCTGGGCTCTCGCTCTTCTGTCCAATGCCATGAAAGAACTGATAAAAGAGATCTATTTTGGGCAATTATAGAAAATTAATGTAATGTCAGTCGTCATAAATTAGAATGTGCTACAGCTGCTGCAGAAAATTGCCGGAGATAAGGAGTTAATTAAACTGAACAGTTCAATGCTCGTGCCATTCCTGGAGACACAGTACATGACCAGTCTAGCACACACATAGCAAAATCAGCGGGATGCCGAAATCTTTTCATTTCGTATGAATTTTGCTATGCACATATTTTAAATACAAAGAAATACAAAATGTATATATAAGTATAATATATATAAAAATTTCAGGTTCTGAAAATGTCTTCCCTATGTGCTCGTTTCACTATGTGCATGCTAGATTGTACATGTATAATGTGCAAAGCTGGAACTGAATAAGACACAACAAACTTGCGCATTTCAATTTAATAGAATTTAATAGTAAAACTACACAGCAACATTTCATCTTTTTTTCTTGTTAGATTTTTTGGTCCCCTTGAATCCTGTTTTTCCTCCTTTGCCCTTGAAGCCCTTCTGTGGACCCTTGCCCTTGAAGCCCTTCTGTGGTCCCTTGCCAGCACCCTGTCCTGGATTTTTTTTGACCTTTTTCGTCGCTTTTGAAGGAGCCTGCAGAGCCTCACCCAGAATGGATGTCAACTTGTCTCCCTTCTTTGCACTCGCCGCCTTCTTGAGTTTGCGCAGACGCTTTTCCTTCTTGTTTTTCAAGATGCTCTTGAAATTAGACGAAGTGGCATTGCTTGGTGCGAAGACAATCCTTTTCTTTTCTTTCTTTTCACTCCCCTTTGGTGTCTGGAACTGAATTAAGGACTCGTAGACAAGAAAAACATAAAAAAACCCAAGGCAGCTGCCATTATGAACTGCCCTGAACATTTATCATACCAAAATCCCCCCTAAAAATATCTGCTTCTTGGTAAAAGCAAGGACAGAAAGCTGATGCAGAATACATTCAATTTTGTAACATCTTTGAACCAAAATGGGTTCATTTCCATTCTGGGACAAACACATTAAGTGCCTCTATCTCAGCTGAGTCAATTTAGAGGCCAATCTGGAAGTCTCCTTACTGCTGATGTTACTTTTCTCCATTAAAAAACAGATAAAATCCTTACTATTTTACAACAAACCTTTAAAAGCAACACAAAGGAAACGAAAACAATTCCATGTACATATAAGTTCTTATGACAATTCTTTAAAACTGGCAACAACAACAAAATCCAACTCAGCACAAAGAATTTAACAAGAATGAAAGGATACAAGTTTCTTCTTCTTGGCAGCATCACTCATATTCTTTTCCTCTTTCTTTTTTGCCTTTTTTGTACAAGCCATCACACGTAGCCGTCTCCCCCGGAATTCCGACTCATTCAACTTCAGGGACAGGCTTACGCAATCTTTGGACTAAATGGAAGAAAAATATGATCAGGAATGAGATATTTTTCAGGTTATCAAAACAGACTCGGTCTACATTTCATAATTGGAAACAAATATTCTTTTAAAAATATTCTTGTTTTACAATGATTTTTTAAAATATGAACATGAACATTTCATACTCTGAGCTCTATAAACTTTGAGGATTGGATTTAAATGTCGTCAGTTCATATTTCAGTGTCATCTCACTATCATGATACTGCACTGCTCATATTGTTCTACTAAAGACTTACCGTACTTTAAAAAAAAAAGATTTTGTAATGTCAGCTCTTTAACACATTTACAAATAAACTCTTCTAAATCACAACGGTGTAAGACAAAAACTCTGAATTTGAGTTAGATTATCCTTCAGTTAAAATTAAAGGTAGAAGACAACTAAATTGAAACCTAGTACTATTTGTAATGTGACTATTTTTTTAGATGACTTCCTAGCCAACATAATAATTTGACTTTGACCTGAAGCAGAAAACCTATTCACTATAACATGTGAGTGTGATTCCTGCATTTGGAGGAAAATGATATCCCAAAAAGCCCAGGCTGGCTCCCTGCAGCTGGGTTGAAGGAGACCGCAGCCTAAATGATCAGATTTAGGTTGACTGGGGTGTAAAACTCTTTCACTCCATCATACTTCTGTGGGATGTTTATCTGGTCAGTCTAACACATGTGCATGCATTTGCACTTTGATCACACTACACATTACCTCAAATTGAATGAAACAGATCCCTTTGCCAAGACTGGTCTGTCTGTCTCTCACTATCCTCACATTGATGATATCACCACAGTCCAAGAAGTGACTTCTCAGTTCCTCTTCCCTCACATCTAGGGACAGAAAAAAGCAAACAATGTTAAATATTAAGCAAAATTTTGCACACTGAAACAAAATGTTAAAAAAAGAAGAAATTCTTAAAATAAAAAACAACAACACAAACAAGATGTTATTCTACATACGAACCTGCTTGTGTATAATAGCAAAACTCAATTTTTACAACTAGTCAGGTCCTATATTCAATGACCTAATTCTCTGAATTTTGCAATTTCATGGATGGGCAAAAAAATGAAGGGAGGGAATGCATAGGACCTGAAGTTGCAACACTTTTGTGGCCATAAAAAGTAATCACAGGACAGAAAAGAATGTACAAAATGAGGAGAAGGAGATTTTATGTAAAATACAATGGTGCGGAGGGGCAGGTGAAGCAGTTTAGCATGCCCATAAAAAAGTTAGCTCCATCCTTAGATAACACCAGCGCTATACTTGTGCTTTTAAAATATTTCTATTATTTTTGAAGTAGATAAATACTTTTGAAGTAGATAACTACTATGAACTAAACGAGGGAAAGAAAGTAGTACCATGAACCTTTAACTTTTTGCCACTGTTGATTTTTAGCAATTTGTGATGCTGTTGAACATGTGGTGGCAATGCAATTCTCTAAAAGAATATCCTTTTAATAGCAGTCTCAAAATTGAAATTAGAAAGCACACAGAAATATTACACACACATTATTACACAATGATATTTCATGAATAGTTTATCCAGCTGTTGAAGAATAAATACTGACAAACTAGCATTCACCCTCACAAGACTATGGTATGCTAACCTTAGACAAAAAAAACCACCTCCCCTTCCCTACCTCCGACCTAGAAAGGGTCAACGGGTATTGAAACAAGGATTAGCTTACCAAATGGTAGATTGCCAACAAACACAGATCTCTTCTTGTCATGCTGGGGAACAGAAGTTCAAAGGTTATTATTTATCATGAATTTTTTTTTTTACTGGAAACCTAGGTCTAGGGTTTTTTTTTAGCTCGTTTTGTGTTTGTGTTTTGGTAAGTATTTTACGATGCTCCAAACTGCAAAAGGTCATATGAGCACATGGGACACATTAAACATTTCCAGTTCGGTAGGAATTAATTTAGAATTTTGCCAGAAGCCTATTCTGATCTATTTCAGGACCACCAAAGGATCTTTAATGGGCGCAACTTGCATACCAGACCGCCAAGACTTTTTCGCCCTTATTTGAGAGGCTAGATGTTAGACCTTACCTACCCTTGGATCAGGGGTGTGGCTGAGAGACAGCAGTAAGAAGAAGCCAGGAGTAGCAGAAGGAAGAGTCACGAGCCAACAGATTTTTTAAAAAAAAAGGGGGGGGGGGGGAGAAAGTGGAGATGAAAACAGATGAAAGAACATGATCGGAGAAGATGAAATGGGGAGAAAGGAGAAAATGTTCCCATCGCTGTCAGACTTTGAACCAAGGACATATTGAATGAGAGGCAAAGGTATAACATAATTCATAGACACACCTTTTTAGCAGAAGCAGCAATGTCTACCCTGAGGTGCTGATCGTCCAATACATAGCCATTTCTGAGAACAAAGCAGATTATAACATAATGACATCAATATAAAAAAACCGGCTAGACAAAGATGGTTGAACTTTTGGAAAATGAACGATATAACATAGAGCGCGGTTAAAAATTCAAGGCGTAACTTCTCCTCAAATATATCTTTATTGGGTGAATCAATGTCACCCATACTTTGCACAGCAGCTTGTATCAATTTCTCTTAACTTAATCATATTTTTCCACAATAACTGAGACTAGACTAAAAAACCTTTCTTCATAAATTATATTTATAAAAATACTATACAATAAATCTCCGTCATTCGGAAAATGGGATAGTTCACAGCACTTGCTGTTTCTCATACACATTTTACATACACATGTGGCCTACATCACAGCTCACCAATGACACTTTCAAGTGGCAAAACTTGTTATAAGAAACTAATTTTATACTGAACAGTACACCATTTTTGCACTTGAAGGTTCTCAAAACATGCATTCAATGAGCATAATGTCACGATTAGAAAAAAATGACAGACTTGCTTTTGAAATCAATATTACCCCAGTTGCACACCTTTTGAAATCTGTAGAAACCACCCACTTGGAATTTTTATAAGTATTTATTAAGGAATTTTCTAGAACACAGCTAACAGGGGTTAATAAAAATATTGATCTGTTAGAACAAATTGATACAAGTCATTGTGTAAAAGCTGCCTATATCCGATAGTTTAGGAAATATTCGCCAATAAGTTGTGCCACGAATTTTTGACAGCACTATAGATGGAAATACTCACAAAAGATGGTATCTGCACAGATGATAGAAAGCTGTATTTTTGCACCTTTATCCATTTGGCACACAATTCACTAAACAGTAATTCCTTCACATACAACTTTATGTGTCTAATAATACTATCATGAACATTTTCACGAAAGTATAATATTTACGCTATGGTCTCTCTAAGCAGATGTACAAATCGATTTTAGAGCCAGAATACATCTATAACGTAATACATGAACAGTATCTGTTACACTCAAAAACTTCTTTACTTTTCTTAAAACGCTACACCTCTTGGTTTTGTCAGTTGACTGAAGAACAGGGGTAACTTATAGTAACTGGGTTTTCAGAATAATTTCTACTTTGCCAATGACACTCAATGAGCATCAGACTTTTCCAGTTTTTATTTCCGTTTCTATGATCATTTGCGCAAAGACTGACAACATGCTGACTTCTTTACATTCATAAGTGCAAGTGCATACTTCCAACATAAGAACGAAACATAAAGAACGAGAACTAAGAATGAATGTATTAGTTGTCATTGTTTACATTCCATATGTGAAGTGTACCTCTACTTGTGCATTTACAATTTTGTGTTAAAAAACGGAATACCTTTCTTAGTTGTATACAGGCTGCCACACACTCGGCATAATTCATGAAAAAAGGCAGGGTCGCTTTCTCTTGTGTATTTAATGGTAAAGCAAGAGCCAACGCCGAGTGTATTTCCTCAAAAAAAAAGCAGATGTGCATCTTTCTTCTCTTATAACTTGACTATTGCGCAAATTTAAGAATTCTCATGGAAAAAGACATGTTATTCGTAGTCAGTTTAAATTAGATTCTGGAGAGATCTATCGAGCCATTTTAAAATGAACAATCACTTATTCATAAGTATGTAACTAAAATAGGACAAATAGGGTACTCTACAGACACTTGTCTGGAACAAAAACTAATGCCTAGAAATTAATCATTTCAACACAGAATAAATGACCAGACACTGATCTTTTAGTACATCAGTGTAAAGGTTTGAGGGGAAGAAGTTATATCATTTCAAAAGTAGACAAAATGCGAACTTCTTAACAGACACTGGCAGAGTCGCATCAGGGCTCATAAAGCCCGTGACCCAGATCCGGGGAGCTCCAGCAGGCTGCTGAGTCATGCTAACTAACTAAAACTCACAAAATCAGGCGCAAAGTGACGCTGTGAATTCTATACAAATGTGCTATGAACAAAAAATTACCTACATGTTTACCCACAATTCTAAACCTCTCCAAAACATGCTCAAAAACACCTGTGAATTTTACACAGCACATATATACATAAACATTGCTACATAGAAGTGCTACTGACTGAAGTTGTCTTTAGGTCATTCTAAAAAGGGGTATACTAAAAATGTTTTTATGCACAGTAGAATTATTAATGGGCTGATTTATCAATGTTGTGCTCATACTCTGCCGGAACAACATAGGAGGAACTGAACTGCTGCTTTTTTTTGCCTCATCCTTCCTATCGTCATTTTTCCTCTACTCTATTTGTACGTTTGTCACTCTCTTGTGAACTGCTGTTTCCGTGGTGCCTTGATAGTTAAAGCAGACTTTGTGCTGTTGAGGCTAGTGAGGTGAGCAGAGTAAGCCTGATTCCCCATTAGGACTTCTCTGTTGACGTCCATCCCTTGGCCCTCATACGACCGTATGCAGTTGCGACTGCCAAAAACCCTTACTAAAACAAACAATACAAGAGGAAGCCCTCTACACTCACCTTGCTAAAGCTTTGTTAGCTGATTCATCATCTTTGAACACAATGTAGGCAATGTAGCTGCTACCTTTTTCATGAAAATTTTTCCTGGAGAAAATAAAAACCAAATCAACATAAGAGTTCGTTATTTATCTTGCTTTCAATGCAAAAAAATATCCATTTATCTTGAATATAACTCAAGATATTTGCCATATAAAGAGGTGGTTGTTGTCTGGTCTCAGAGGTACAAATAGCAAGAAAACCGCCACCAAAGTTTAGTTATTTCCTTAGCTTGAGAGTCTGCTGAAACATACAATTTTTTGTGCCTTTAATCAACGTCTTTCATTATAATGCACACAGAAATGCGTTCTTTAATGGACATGAAATGTGTTGAGCCCCCCCAAAAATTGATAAAAGTTCCCAAACCTGAGGAAAAATTCCAGTTTTTTCACTTTCATTATTTTGACGAGCGCCTGATTTCACCACGCTGCCTCACAATTATTCAATGAGATTTAAATGATAGATTACATCGATACATGGGACCAGACTACTGAAACTACAGGAGTCATCCATCCATTAGTCTAGACTAAAATCACAATGACGGTGCTCTTTACCTTTCCATTATCCTTTCTTTCCCCTGACAGTTCACTTGTTCTAGTCTAATTTCCTCCCATAAGGGCAGAAGAAAAACTTTTGGACTGATATCATTGAGGACAAATGTATTCACTTAATGTCAATTATTCTTTCAAAAAGACTTAGAAAAACGTTGAATTAATATTTTCTTACTCGCAATACGAACAACATTCTTATAAGTTATAAAAACAAAATATCATAAAGAAACTTACGTGATTACAATTGCTCGTCTGGGCAAATTTGGTTCTGCTGCAGGCTGACAAAAAAAAAAAAGACAGAGATACATTTTATCCATAATCACCCAACAAGAAAAACAACATCAACTAACACACACATTCACATATAGCAGGGAACCTGAACAAACTTTTACATCTGAAATGGAGGAAGAACTGAGACATAATCTCCAGAAATGACTGCAAACTGTCAGCTTCAACATGACATGCTTCAATATGAGCAGCATATGAAGGCACACAAACAACTAATGAATAATATACATCTGTGGAAGATACTCAGAAACTTAAGTAATCAAAGAAACACAGCACTGTTAAAAAAATCCCTTCCAAAATACATTTCATTAGCTTTTAGAATCCTTCAAACTAGGAAAAAATGTAATTTTAAATAAGTTTTGTCAAATTAGGTGATTTTCCTTGATTTATATCTCATAAACAAACTATACACTTTTGTTTGTACTTACAGCACATCTGAACCGAATTGATTCAATTTCTCCATATTCTTTAAACAAACTCTTGAGAACCTGTAATAGTAAAGTGAAAAATGCAGCGCATTAAAAAAAGAGTGATATAGGACAGGGGAAGAACAGTATTTTGATGGATATAGGCAAGCCAAGATAAAGATAGTAGGTAATATCATAGCATCACTTTAAAAAATTGTCAATTTTAAAAACTACGATTTACGAAAGATAAAACACAAAAACTACATTTTTTTATTTTACTTCCATGGGAATAAAGATAATTTCCAAAGACATTAAGAAAATAAAAAAATATGAATAATGCTCAAGAACAACCTACATGAGTATTACAATAAGACCACAGGGGAAAAAAAATCTCATCATACGCATCAAGATAATAAAAACTTGTTAGCTTTCAACAACTGTTATTTTATAATTACTAAAAAGTGAATACCTTTTTGTCAGCTGAGAGTGGGCAATTTCCAATAAACACAGTCCGTGTGTCTGCTGTCTTGTCCCTTTTTCTGTTTCTCCTGGGCCTTTTCTCAGCGATCTCATCTTCTTTTTTCCGATCTGAGCTTGTTCTCTTTTTCTTGGGTTCTTTAACCACCCTAAAAGATCAGAGAATAATTTTACCCCAAAAATGAAATAACACTTTTAGCTAATTAAATGATTCACCTATTCACATTACTTTCACATGGGTCTGTGGGGTTTTTCTGATTTCAAAGACAAAACCTTTTTGCTACACTATATGATTCATTGAAACATTATGACCTTATTGCAAAATGTTCCAATTTATTTCTAAGAGAACTTAATCTACATTGCTGTGAGATACTGACACTCACTAAACAAGTAATATCAGGCTTTAGACACAGTGATACAGAAAAATAGCACGAGAGTTCTATGCTGAAGAAACAAACCGAACTAGGCACTATATCACGGTAGACAGTACAGTACAAAAAGAAAACGAAGGAAGAAGAAAAGAACAAAAACCAAAGGGAGGGAAAAATTGTACATTAAACAGTGCAGTCAAGCACCAACAAAAGACATGACTTTTATCTCCTCAACTGAGGCAGTAACAGTATTTCTCATACAACAACAGTTTCACCATGTCAACTTTATAAAGTAATCATTACATATGCATAAGTCTGAAATGGCAATACTACTTTGAAATCTAAATATATCTGGGGGGGAAAAAAAAAACGCAATAAAAATTACTTCAAAGTTATAACTAAAGTCTACTCATAAATAAAGAGAGTAAAACAAACAAAACATACAAACTTAATCAAACTGAAGGAAAGGCAACAATGCAGAAATTAACAATACAAATTCTTCACCTTTTCATTTTCTTTTCTTCTTTTGCTACTTTTGCTAATGTCTCATGTTGAAAAGGAAACTCCACAGGTCCAGATTCAGATGCCTTGGAGGAGGAAACATCATCAGAGCTGGTCGCTTTCTCCTTCTGTACTTTCCTTTTCTTTGCAGAAGATTTGTTGTTCTTCTCTTCCGTTGTTTGGTCTGAAACTGCCTGTCTTTTCAGGGAATCCGCTTTTTTCTTTAAAAAATATAAAAAAAAGAAACAACAGATATATATACATAAACAAATGATAAAAGCTACTTCTTTAATATTCAAAATACATCTCTTTACTATCACAAAAAGAAAACTTAAGTACTTGGATGTGACGGAACATGGCAGCTTCTCATAATATTAGGTCAGGCCCAAGAAGAACTCAGACTTTTACAATGTTTGTGACTCTGGTTCTGATGTCGAGTAATGGTAACAAAAAAAAAGACAATCTCTTCAAAATAATGACACCCCCCCCCCCCACCCTATTTCAATCCTTTCTGTTCAGGTCTTTACCACCCACAACAAACATTTGCAACCATATCTTGGACACTTTTTAAAAAAATACTCCCGAAACCTAAACAGAATTAGAACACACATTTGAAAAAAAACCTGTAACATTTTACACTTGGGAAAAGGTGCCTTGTAGAAGACATTATAAACAATGTACACTCGACACAAAAAATGCTGTGAACACAACAACACTCTCTATCGATTTAACGAAAAAACTTTTCATTCCTGACATCACCCACAACTTACAGCTGCATGCTGAGGGAGATACTGAAACCCATCTGGTGCTTTAGTAGCCGTAAAAAGACTTGCGAGAGAAGTATTCTCAGATGCTGAAGACTTGTTCTTGGAAAACAGGGCAGCAGCCACTTGTCCTGGCTTATATACTGCTGCCATTTCTGGAGAGACAAGAAAAAGGAAATTGAACTAGGATTCAGTGATGTAGACTTGTATCATCCCTCTACATAAAAGAGCTCAAAAGACTATAATTCTTGTCTAGGTGGTGTGAACACTGGTACAAACAGTTGAAACTGAACAAACAGAATTGGTCAAATCAAAAAGAACAAAAGTTTTGATTTCTCAATCTAAAAAGGACATTATAATGCTTTAGTTTGGTATATCGTCAGTTGACTTCCCATTTCTTTCATTATCATGATGATGAGATTTAAGCCAGTGCAACAAAACAACCAATCAAGAGGAATTTTTAATGAATCTTCCACTTTTTTTCTCAATGCTTAAAATAATAACACAACTCCGGGCACTCTTCGGAAGAAGTGGTCCCGGCCTAACTCCATAGACATACACAAAATCGGAAACAAAAACAGAAGTCGAGTAAAAAAGCTGACTGAGTTGCCAGGGTGAAAAGGCCATCAGTAAATTTATAGAAAAGGTCCAAACCCATTTTGGACTATTTTTGGACACTATTTTAACGTTTTTTAGCGTGCTGAGACCAATCTTGGCACTGAAAACTTAAAAACCATTATGATTATTTTTGTGAATTTAGCACCCCCCCCCCCCCTCTTTTTTTTACGCGAATTCCGTTTTTGTTTCCGATTGTGTAAATAATGTAGGCCTAGGCTATAAATGTCTATTGAGTTAGGCCGAGACCACCTATCCGGAAGGACATCTGTAACGAGTGACCACCCCAACAAACACAATATGTGAGGCAGCCTGGTGGAATCAGGCACTCATTAATTTTTGGGCATGTGGAGTTATCAATTTAATGTAATCTTAAAGCCTTTATTTTTCTTTTCTATTTAAAAATAGCGAAAAAGTTCTCAATTATCTTGATATAGAAGTCAAGATATACATATATGAGATTGAAGAAGAAAGTGTCACCTAACTCTAGTTTCAGAGGTTGTTGTTGTTCAAAGTTGTTGTCTTCAAATCCCTTTAGCTGCGAGCATTTCGCTTTTGGCAGCGCAATGTTTCAGAGGTAAAATTATCGAGAAAAGGGCGCCAAAGTTTGGTAACTTCCATTAGCTTGAGAGTCCTCAGGGAATGAAAATGGTAGCGTCAATTGCCACCAAGCGACGTGGTGGCAATAGACAAAAATTGACTTTTTGTCTATTGCCACCGAGTGAAGCAGTGTCAAGTCTGAAAACAACACTATCTTTAGCATTGTACATAATATTATGAGTGTCCAATGGGTCAATTTGTTCTCAACTAATTTCATTGGACGAGTATCTAGTCTAGAGCTATGGTACCAACTTGGCGTGTTGTCAATGAGACGTAGGCCGTGGGCCTAGAATCTAGATCTAGGCTAGCCTTAGCCTACACTTTGATGTAGAACCAACACTGGCAATTCTAGAAGTAGAAGGTCACAAACGCACACAAACTCAAGCAGAAATTCACGTTATATCGGGGAACATAAATCGGGGGAAGGGGATCAGGAAAAGACACACACACACATACACACACACAGAGGGACAGAGAGACGAACGCACAACACTGAGCACAAAAAAGTATAAAAGTAAAAGCTAGAGCTCTAGATATCTAGATCTAGAAATCTAGATCTACCCACCAACGCAAAAAAAAGCTCCAATTTACTCGGTGGCAATTGACACTACCAATGAAAATCTAATTTAGATTCTAGATCTAGATAGATTCTAGATCTAGATCTAGATCTAGACTCTAGTAATCTAGATCTAGATATTAATATTAGCTCTACATTATTTTGTTTTTTATTAATCAACATGAAGTTGATATTCGTGTTCAGCGCATCAATATTCAGTAGAAAATGGACAACTGGTAGATCTAGATGGGAGGAAAAGTTTTAAAAAATACCTTTGTTTCTACAAAAACAACGAAGATACGGGTACCAAGATACGAACCCAGAACAAAAGACTTGTTTACTTTTTTAACACTGCTCTCTCTTGTTTACTTCAGCACGTTGACATGAGGCTACTTTCATTATCTTTCCTAACAAACTGAGCTCTTCTGAATTCGGAAGTTAAAATGAGTATGTATGTACAAATATATCTTCAGGAAATAAAGAGCTCGTAAAACCTCTCGGCGCACTAAAATATATTCGCATTTAAACAGACTGTTGTGCATATTCCCAAACAGGTCTTCCATGTCTACGCGTGTAGCATTGACTGGTTTAATTGACAGGCGGTATGTATGTATGTATGTATGTATGTATGTATGTATGTATGTATGTATGTATGTATGTATGTATGTATGTATGTATGTATGTATGTATGTATGTAAACT